TGCCTTTGAAGATAATCAGGTGTTCTCAAAGAACTATTAGTTTTACTCACTGATGAAATTATTTGAAATCTAGATTACTTGTCATCCCCCTTAGCAAACTCTTGTCTGAGGTTTTATGGCTGAGTGTGTCATTAGGAAGAAAAGCACTTAGAAGTCATTTTTAAATAGTGTTTGGACTCAGGATACACTTTCAAATTACAGACAGGGAGTCTGAGCACCTTTCAAGTCCCGGAAGAAGTACCAGGTAGCTGATTCCCCACTGATATGCAAGACCTTTGGGAGAAGAGGACTAAAAGCATTACATCTCACTTTCCTCATACTCCAGCCAAAAGCAAACCGCCTGCTTCCCTTTTAAATTTCATTCTGCCTAGCCTGGTAATTGAAAGCAAAAAAGAAAGTTGGGGTGGGGAGGAGAAGAAAACACTTTTTAAATATATATCAGATAAGAGATATAAACATGGTTGTATGTAAACTACAAGACTCCCTCTTAGTGATTCAGGGACGTACCTAACGTTGAATGAACACTGAAGAACACTGAGAAGGTTAGGCAATTTTGAATGAAGTAAAGCATAGAACTGGCAGAGGACATGGAGGCAGAAGTATGCTGAAGTTGGGTGTGAGGACAAGCTGGCTGCCTAGGCTAGCAAAGAGGCAGTGGCAGGAGTGACTCGGACGAGGGAAGGATTGGCAGCCTGCCCAACAGAGCACGTGAAGGAAATCAGATCTAACAACATGCTCCCACAGACACTGGGTTTCTAAGCAAGGTACTAACAAAGACTCAGAGCAGGGTAAACCTTGGAGATAATCAGCCCCTCATTTTGCAAACGGGGAAAATGAGGCCCACTAGCATTAAGTGACTTGCCTCGGGTCTCACAGTGAGTGGAAGAGCTGGGACTAGAGCCAAATCCAGATCAAATCCGTTACTGAAGAGGATCTGACATTCATGTGAGGGATGAGAGGGAGGGGGAGGCACAGGACACAAAATAGTCTAGTCATTCAGGTTTGTCCTGATTAGGGCCCAGAACAGGATCATGCTGGAAAAGGCCATGACAGATGACAGCCAGGGAAATAGGTACAGATGACTTAAGACATTTAGGGAGGAAAAACCCACTAAAACTCAGAAATAGAGATGTTGGTACAAAAACAGAGAGAGCATCCCAAGCATAGAATCCCCATCAAAGAATGTCACCTTTCCACCAGCATTCCCCTTTGTGAAGTTCTCATACAGAGATAAGCCAGGAGCTTCTATCCAAGGTCCAGGCACCTGCCTTTCCCAGGCCAATTTCCAGAACCTAGAAAACCAAAAAGGACTCCTTGGAAATTCCAACACCTATCAGCCTGATAACCTGGGGTATCTCAGACTTCCTTCCAACCCATAGTAGGATGACAAGTGAGGAATTAGAGACACAAGATGGCTAACTACTATATAAGCTCTGAAGTATTTATTTACTAGAAGACTTCATGTCAAGAATGATGTTGACAACTAGAGCACCTGGCTGGGTCAGTCAGTAGAGCACTCACCCCTTGATCTCAGGGTTGTATATTTGAGCCTCACGTTGGGCACAAAGTTTACTTAAAAAAAAAAAAAAAAATTAGAGGTGGCTGGGTGGCTCAGTTGGCTAATTGTCCGACTCTTGATTTTGGCTCAAGTCACAATCTCACGGTTCTCAAGATCGAGCCCCACAGACAGTGCAGAGCCTACTTGGGATTCTGTGTCTACCCCTCTCTCTGCCCCTCCCCTGCTTATTCTCTCTCTCTCAAAATAAATAAATAAACTTAAAAAAAAAAAAAGAATTATGTTCACAATTAAGCAACAAATATTTAAGCATTTAAATTTGACAAAATACATAGAAATTCAAACTCCCAAAGAAATTTTAACCATGGTTTTAAAAGCTAAATGCTAGAATAACTGTAATTAAGTATAACTCCCTAGTCTTCAGAAGGGGACCATGGCCTTGTACAAACTTGAAGGGATGTGTCTGGATAAAGAGAAAGTGGAAAATAATACCCCAGCAAAAGGCTAACCACCACCTTTTTGTTCCCAGAGATCTCCATGGCTTTGTGTATAGAACCCCACTACTCCAAGTGTAGTTCAGTAACATTAGCATCACCTGGGAATTAGAAATGCAGATACTAAGGTCCCACCCTAACCTACTAGATAAAAATAAGCATGTTAGTAAGACCCTCCCCCCTAGACAATTTATGTGCACGTTCAAGTTTGAGAAGCACTGACGCAGAATACTTTAAAAATGCACCATATATAGCAGTACCAAAGTACCAAACAGGCATATAAAGAGACAAAATACCTGCTCACTTTCTGTAATCATATTTTATTGGGTACTGCTGAGACAGACCTCCAATGTTTTTTAATCAATTTGGTACTTACTAACGACCATATGATCTAAATGTGGCATACATTTCACTTCCTGAAATAAAACACCTTAGCTCTAGGGCCTTCATGAACATGAAATATGAAACAGCTTAGTTGTTCTGAAATACAATAATGGTTAATTTTATTCAAGTTCCAACATTGAGTTCAGAGCACTTCTCCACAAGCCCCATTAATTCCACAGGTTCCTGGGAGTATCATTAAATCCCCCAGCATCCCTAAGAAGCAGGTGCTTGGCAAACATCCAATCTCCAAATGAGATTCAGAAGGACCTGGTCCTGAAAATGCAGTACCTTCATTGCCTGACAGTGTAGCTTCTCAGGCCCAAACTCTCTCCCCCACTGAGGCCTCATACAGCTGCACACTCAAGTACTTCCCAAAAGGGAGAAAGGTCAGATGTATCATTATCCCATAAGCACTTGGGATTCCAGCTGTGGAGAAATTAATCCGGTTAGGGGTGCAGGCAGAGAAGCCCTGAATAAGATCTGGAAAGGCAGAGGGTAATACAAAAGAAAGAACCTACTGAGAGGCTTTTAAGAGACAAGAGGTCCCAGATACTTAGAGATTTTAAGGTAGGGACTGGGAACAAGGCTTGGCAGACATGTGAGAAAATGATGGGGGGAGATAAGTATCCATCCCCCACCTGCACCTCAGAGACAAGAACAAAAAGAGTGACGAAGAGATTCCTCCAAATGACCTCTTTTCTTGATAAAAGGAAGGAAGAAAGCCAAAGTCGGGAGGAAGCTTAATGAGCTGGAAGCAAGACTAGAAGAATCTCTTCAGATTTTTTTCCCAATATGGGGAAAAAAGCAAAGAAGAAAACAGTACCCATCTAACCAGAATCTTATAGGAAGCAAACTACCCAGATAATAAAGAGTCCTGTGAACAACCAAAGAAATGCGAAGGGATTCCTTTCCAGTTTAAACCCATGCTGGGGGGTAAGGCAGTCCTGGACCTGAGGCCACACCTCCCATATGAGTAGAAAAGGGAAAACCTCTAAAGACACCAGTAAGCAGAGCGGCGTCCAAAGAGAGTTAGGATTCAGAAAAATGCAGAAAATGGGATAAGGCGAACCAAGACAGAAGAGTTTCTGTTAGTAGAAAACAGAAAGATAAAAGATAAAGTAGACACACATGCAGGCACCCTTTAGGAGGGGGAATCTTCCCCTTAGGGGAGGGGAATTCAGGAGGTGTGACTATAGGAAGTGTGCTTAGAAAAAAGGCCACAGAAGCAGAGAAAGTGCTGTGCTGAAGAAAGATACGCATTCACCAAAGGAAGAGGAAATGGGTGCCTTGACCAACAGGGAGAGCACCTAAAAGGGAAATGGGGTTCCAAAGAGGAAAGGAAACTGAGGAATGAGAATGTCTTGGATAGCAGAAAAGCTAAAAGAACAGGAGGCATGCTCAAGAACCAAGGATCATGGCCGGGAAATGAGAGGACAGAAAAAATGTGTGCCCTCTGAGATTTAATAAGCATCAGGAAGGTGGCTGCACCCTGAGAACCGTGTAACCAAAAAGGGTGGACTCTGTACATCTTGAAGGCACAGGAAATAAATACACTTTCAGAATGAAAACCAATCTCTCCAGGAAATAAGGTAGTTCAATTTGAGGAACTCATGAAAATGGGTGCAACCCCAAGAATACAGTGACTAGAAAAAGCAGTGAATTCCTTTATTTGTGCAACTGCAAATATCTATCTTTAAACTTCAGGATTTGGATCGCAGACTCTGGAAATGAGGTGCACCCCCCACTTTTGAAGGGCTGGGGAAATGAAGTGGCCCCCAAATTTAAGAAATCTTGGAAAGCATATTGCAAGATCTGGGGCCTGGAGAACGGGATTCTTCCTTGGATTTATGGGAATATAGATATCCCCAAAACGTTGGTTGTTGGACCTCAGATCTGAGACTCAATCATGGGGCAAACCCCAAAATTTGAAATGGAGTGCGTATTCAGAATTGAGGCTCGGAGAAGGGAGTGTCCTCCCAGTTTGGGGGTGGGTGCTTGGGAAATGGGGTACATCCTCAGTTTGAGGGGCTTTGGAAATTAAGATAAAACCCCAGGGCTGGAGTTTAAGAAAGGGGGTGCACCACATTTTCTAAACTATAGAGAAAGGGGACACTCCCATAGTCAGGGGCTTGAGAAAGGGGTGTGCTCCCCAGAATAGGGTAAAAGATTCAATAAAAGAAAACGCGTTCCCAAAGCACAAGGCAACAGCAGAGGCTGGTGGTGGAGCTCTCGGGGGCCACAACAGCACAGGTTCTAGCCCTAGCCCTTACCCCCCACCCCCAACACAGCCCGCTCCGCGCCCCAAGCCCGCACCCCGCGGCCCAGCCCCCTCGGGCGGCGCTGATTGGCCGCGGCCGCCGTCATTCCCTAGGGCAGCCCTGGGGATTGGGCGCCGCTCGCACGCCCGCCACGCTCTCAACAGCGGTCCCGGGGCCTCCCTCCGGGCTGGGCAAGCGGGGCCGGGACGGGAGCGAGGCCGGGCAGGGAACCCGAGCAGCGGTGGAGGCCGTCACCGCTCCCGCTAGCACCGCGCGTACGGCGTGGGCCCGGCCCAACCCGGCCCCGGCCAGCCGGCTTCTCCTCGCCGCGCCTCGCCGCGAGCTCACCTCACAGCCCCGCTCCGGCTGCGCCGCTCCAGGACCAACCGACAGAAGGACTCTGCGTGCTGCGCACCACGTGACCCCCGGGACGCGCCCAGCGTATCCCCCGCCCCCCACACACTCGCACCATCGCCACCACCGAGTGACGCAGCGCCCCAGCTGCCCCGCCCTCGGCCCCGCCCCGCCCGATCCCCGTGGCGACGGCTCCGGCGGGCCACGCCCCCTGCCCTGACGCGCGGGAACCACGCTGGCGCCCGGATCCACAGCACGAAGTCCCCACTCACCCATAACCACTGAGGTTACACGAAGCCTGGGACTGGACGCTATGTATCACCTGTGAATAATGTCTCCTAAATGCGTCTCGAAGCTTCCCACTTTTCTCCATCCCATTGCCAACACTGCAGTCTAAACCACCTCTCTCTTAGATAATGGTGGTCCCCTCCATCGCATCACCCTTTTCCTTTACAATCTGTTCTTCACATACAGAGGTGGAAGCTTTTCAAAACTCAAGTATAATCACAGCCATCCCCGGCTCAAAGCCCGTTGCTCACTGTTCTTCGGATTGAAATCTTAATCTTCATGGTAGCCTATCAACCAGGCTTTTCAAAGTCTGAACCTAACCTACCTGTCTCACATTTTCTCACATCCCGCTTTCCAAACGTTCTCTGCTCAAGCCAGGTTGCTTGCCGCCTCGGGGTCTTTGCACTAATACCTTCTCTACTTCGCCTCATTAACTCCTAGGAAAGGATTCCAACTGCTGGTGTGGAGAGGACCTGTAGTTTGCCTCTGGGGAGCGAGATCAGAGTTGCAACCACACCAAAAGAGTATGAAATGTTTTCCCAAAGGAATTTGGGAAGTCCCAAGGAGAGGTGCTAAACAATTGTTATTTATGAGCCAATGAGGACTTTATTTTACATTGGAAAGACCAAGCAGCCAGATTGCACTTTGTAAAATGTAAGTCCGATTATGTCACTGTACTGCTTAAAACAACCAATCTGTCTATTCATCTGCATCCTTCATCCTTGCTCATCCTCTGGCCACACTGACTTTCTGTCAGTTTCTATGGCTCTTTCTAAGTTCTTTTCCAGCTCCTGGGTCATTGGATAAGCTGTTGCTTTTTGCAAAGCTGACTATTCATCATGCACGTCTCAGTTTATCATCTCCTCAGTGAAACTCTCTTCGGCTACATTATCTAGAAGAGCTTCCCTCCATCACATGCCTGCCCCATGACAATTACTCTCTGCCTTATCACTGTTCATTTTCAACAAAGCACTTAACACAGTTTTAATTATTTCATTTGTTCTCTTGATTGTATTTGTCTATTTCGTAAATTAGAATTAGGGGCTGTCTTATATCAACTGAATTGTCAAACCTGACGAATAATAGATATTCAATGTGTATCTGTGGAAAGAATGAAAGGGAAAGAGAAGCCTATCAGGCTTGAAGAGGGCATTACTTTGGGGCAGAGGGCAGTGCTTAGGAAGAGGTTCTGGGAAACCAGGGACAAAAGCTTCAGTTGTGTTCACTTTGGCAGCACATATACAAAAATTATAACAATACTGAGATTAGTGTGGCCCCTGCCCAAGGATAACATGCAAATTAGTGAAATATTCCATTGTAAACAAATTTTTTTCAGGAATCTGAGGACCAGAACCACCTGCATAAACTCAGCTAAGTGCTCCAATACAGCTAAGAAAGGACCTTCCCAGGATCTTCTTGGTTTAACATGAAATCATTCAAATGTTAGTGGCTGTTGTGGCATATGGAGAATTTATTGTCGCACAACCATAGTAATGTCAAGAATCCCAGACTCAATACTCCTGCATAAATACAACATGTTTCTTCACTTATTCAATATGTATGCATTGAGATCCACGCTTGAACTGGGCACCAAAGACACAGGGCAGAATGACATTTGGGCCCTACTCTCAAGGATCTCAAAGCCTGGAAAAGAAATCATCACAGTTTGGGGGCACCTGGGTGGCTCAGTCGGTTGAGTGTCCGACTCTCAGTTTCAGCTCAGGTCATGATCTCGCGGTTCATGGGTTTGAGCCCCACATCAGGCTCTGCACTGAGAGTGAGGAGCCTGCTTGGGATTCTCTCTCTCTGTCTCTCTCTTAGCCCTCCCCTGCTCACGCTCTCTGTCTTGAAATAAATACATAAACTTAAAAAAAAGTTTAAAAAAATCTTCACAATTTGTAAGTTAAAATTCTTAAAAAAAATTTTTTTAATGTTTATTTTTGAGAGACAGATTGACAGAGCGTGAGCGGGGAAGGGGCAGAGAGGGAGACACAGAAT